ATGCAATGCGACATTATTTTCCGGACAACCTAATATTATGTAACATGCGAGACTATGGTGGCTGAAGGAAGTCATGATGTTTTCAAATGAAAAATGGTGCGGAAGAACCTTTGATTCAACCCTATAGACGTATCTGATTCAGCTCCAAAAATTCACCAGGATTGTTTTAGGCCGGTCCTCGAAGTCCGTGGTTCTTCAGTGCTGATAATCAAGTTGCTGGTTTTGCACAAAGCTATGTTGGCCATGGTGACCAGGGTGTGCAGGTGACCATTGATGTCCTCACAGTCAAGGTTGGCATTATATCTGTTGTTTTTTGAAGATGAGTGTGTCATCCCAAAATTTTAGGGAGCTGGCCATATGGTCCCAAATGACAGACCGGGTCCGTCCGTCCAGATGATCACCAATTTCATGTTCCCTGATGCAAATGGTGCAGTGAATTATACCAGCTCGGCATACACTAATCCTCAACCAGACGTAAGTCTTTTTTCCCCACAGGTACAAAAACCCACAGAAACGGACTACTGGACCTAGCCATATGCCATGGCATAGGTTGCAAGTGACGGTTGTCCGCCTAAGTGGAGTCTAGCGTCAACCATCATCGTCTACTTTTTCTAGCTTTCACCACCGATATTTTTTTCAGTTATCACCGCTCACAGGAAATGCGCAAATCACAAACGTCATCAGCACTCTTTTAAGTTCAGCTTTCGTCCTCGTACTATATTATTTCTGATGAATTTTCATGAACATATGAGAAAATAATAAAATGAAATTCTTGAAAATTTATCGACAGTCAAGTCAGAAAGTCGTAGAAAAGAATGCACAGAATTAATGAGAGAAGGATGCTTCAGAAGAACCGTAGATTTTTTCGCAAACAATCGCTACCGAGAGATGAACTGAGTTGTGAAGCAGATATTAAAGATACGACATTGCAAATTGTGGGGAATATTGGTCGAGGAGGATGAGCTAATGTCTTCTCCGATTCCGTCCGGTCATCTTTCTGAAATTAATGTGTAGATTTAAAAAGTTTATTTTGGTTGCAAGACGTAGTTATGCAAGAAGTCGGGTTGCTTTCATTTGTTTTATCTCGTTTTCGATCGGATGTGGTGGAAGAGGAAGGATAGCAATATTGCCAGCCGCTGCTGAAAACGCATGGCACTTTTCTCCCAAAAATAGCAAATTCGAGATTAGCGAAAATGACTGGAGTTGAGATATAGATGTACTCAAAGTTTCGCTCGGAACTTTGAATAAGTGCAACTTGGCAATGTCATTGCAAAAGAAAACGTGGACTACTCGACTACGCGAACTTTCATGAGATTGGCTCAAAAGTAAACTCCCTTTCCGAATAAATCAACTGCTTTCCAAAGAGCCAAGCAAACTGTACAACACTGTAAAAAGAGTTGCCTAAGTCGCAATTCGGGTCAAGTTTGGAGCCAAAACAGAACAAAACATTAACACCTGCAATTTCAATTTTTGCAAAAATAAATTGTGCGGAACTCCAACTTGGGGTCTTATACAGTAGAAACATAGCACTAAAAAATGCGTTCATGGATTTTTCCTGCGCATAGAAAACTGAAATAAGAATAGTCAAAAAACGGCGAAGTCCGCACCCAGCTCCTCTCATACATGTAAACTTCTATAAGCCTTAGTAAGTATACCAAAGTTATACCTCTGCAGATGCCATGGTAAGTTAAAACTCTAACAAGGGAATGGTCAGAAATCGAAGTGGCCGAT